TCAGGGGGGACCTTCTCCCTCTGGAATTCCCTGACAGGAGAGGGGAGGGGGGGGGGTTGGGCTCTGCTCCCAGGAAACAAGGGACAGGAGGAGAGGGAATGGCCTCAGGCTGAGCCAGGGAGGGTCAGGTTGGATATTGGGGAAATTCCTGCCTGGAAAGGGCTGTAAAGCATGGGAAGGGGCTGCCCAGGGGGGTTTGGAATCCCCACCCCCGGGGGGATTTAAAATCCCTGTGGATGGGGCCCCTGGGGACAGTTTTAGTGGTGGGGTGGGTTGATGGTTGGACTTGATGATCTCAGAGGGCTTTTCCAACCTCAGCCATTCCATGATTCCCTCTGCTGTCCCTGTCGTGGAGCTGAGCAGAGCTCAGACCCTGAGGAGTTCACCCTGAGGGAGGAGGAAAAATGGGATCACTCCTGTGAAATTCCCACAGAATCCTGCAGGTGGAGGAGGAAAACTGTTTAATTGTGCCCAGTAATTGAATCCATCAAACTGGGCTGGGTCTTTCCCTTCCCCCTGGGAAAGACAGATCCCACCTCCCCCAGGGCAGATCCCTGAGCTGCTCTGGGATTTGGAGCCATCCATTGGGTTGATCCTGGATCTGACTGATAACATGATCCCATGGTTTTATTGGATCTGGGCAGGGAATGAGCTCCTCGAAGGGCAGCTGGAGTTGGGGGAACAGCTCCAATGAATAGCCAGGGGTCAGTGTTGCTCCAGAATTCCCCAGGAGGAGGCAGGAAGTGTCTCCAAGACAGGAGTTGGGCAGGAAAAGTCAATCCAATAAACTCAGTAGGGAATGCTGAGGATGGAGCTCTGAGCAGGAGTTTGGTTTAAAAACTGACACCTGACATGGGAATGGGCTCATGGAAGAGCAGGAATTCATACCTGGGGAAAGAAAAAGGGGATCCTGAACTGCAGGAGGAGATTCCACGTTGGAGCAGCCCCAAGGATCCCTTTGCTCTCCTGGTTCTTGGCTCAGGAACTGGTTCCTGAGGGTTCTGGGCTCGAGCTCAGTCCTGGTTCAGCTGGGCCATCCCCGGGGCTCCTCCACTTGGGAAACTGGGAATGTGCTCCTGCACATCCCAAAAATCCAACTGGAATTCCTTGTGTCCCTGTGGGAGCAGATCCGATGCTTTAGGAACATGCATTGTGCCTTTGGTTTAAGGCTCTCCAAGATGGGGATTCCTGCCTTATCCCAGTCCTGGGATCCTGAGCAAGAACTCCAGGGAAAGTTTGAGGCTCTCCAAGATGGGGATTCCTGCCTTATCCCAGTCCTGGGATCCTGAG